TCATTATACAGACGACAACTACAACATCTGTGGCATTGTAGGCTTGCACCGAAACACTTTTTGTACGTTGCCGGTGATGATTTAGCTCTTTATGAAAATGAAATAACCCATCATCATAACATTATATTACCCACTGAAGAAAAGACTAAGTGAAACAATTATATGCACCTTAACTCATTTCACTCCCACCCACCTCAGTTCAACTCACTTCCTCTCGCTTCTCCAAATTTTGCTTCACAAGTCAGCGGTACATTTCACCACTCTCTACTACAACTCCACTTCACTTCGTCTCACCACACTGTACTACACTTCACCATAATACATCACTCTGTTGCGTTTGGATGAATGCTAAATCAGAAATCAGACTCATTTTATGCGGTCGAACGAGTCAATATTCGAATGCTGTTAGTTAAACAGTGCAAACAGAACAAATAAGATCAAAAAAATAAAAAGCTCCTATGACCAGACATACACTATTACAAAAAGCAGTATTTCAACATACTATGAGTTGCATTGTTGTTTACCGTCAAATTGCTACTCCTGGTGTACACTGAACCACTGAATCGGTGCTCGAAGTTTTTAATTCCAACAAACATGCTTTACATCAGACGTCATTTGGGTCAATAGAATCGATCGAGGTGCGCAAGTTTGTGTATGAATTGATATTAATTCTCACTTGCCTTAGTTGCATTCAGGATAAATCCCATGAGTATCCTTTGATTGCCTTGCATAACACTGTGCTGTGTTCAGATGCATACATTGCATCACATAATATCTCATCGTAGTGACTGCAATTTCGCCCCGAATATGTCTTCCTTTGGTAACTGGTATGTATGTACATGTATTTTTATTTGAGTTCTTTCATTTTGGCTATCTGTATCGATTAATTACTGACAAGGAAGATTATAAAACCAAAATTTTGCGTCATTTTTCCGAGAACCAATATGTTCGCAGAAAAGAAACTTAATGGACGCATCAAAAAGTTTGGTGTGTCATCATTATGCTGTTAATAATGTCATTAAAGTTTTCTCTATTATGCTTGTTCTTAATTCTGGTAGTGATTCTGGTGATTTTGGCGATAACATCCATTTTAAATTCTCATGTACACATGAGTTTATGTCCGTGCATGTGTCTTCATAAGAGAGTATTTGTGTTCACTCTGAAACTGATATTTGTCATGTAAGGAGTAGGCGTGGAGTTCGTTTGATATTGTTGTAAGTTGCAGACAGTTGTGTAAGCAACAGTGGTGGATAGAATATTGTTGAATGAGGTAGTGTGTGCATCAACTGTCGTTCCGGCAAAGACAAACGACAATCAGCTAGAGTGTTTGCCAAATAGATCTACGGGAAAGTGAATAGAAAAAAGAGACATTCGATCTCCATTTGAACAAAGTGAGTGGATGTTGAAGTATATGATAAACAATCTCAGTAATGGATACGATTCGCTAACAATATAAAAGGTGTTTTGTCTGTTATAGTGTGACATATGTACATGATTCAGCTGATCCGTGTGTTTAATTGTACACACCTAACAACCGCGATTTTGCCTGTGCAAAGTCCGATTTTCTCGAAAGGTTCATTTCTTCAAAGGGTTTGGGGAAAGCTTGAAAAACTGTAAAAGTACTGCTGAAATGTGACTTTAAAGTTTGTAACCTCCCCTCCCTAAGTAATTAATCCTAACTTACATATATTACAAACTCAACAGAACGGTAAACCTATTCAACAACACAGCTCAATGTGCCCTTTCAGGAACTGTTGAACAGTGGAATAGACTGGACTTTTTCGTTGTTAAGAAAATTGTTATGTTTTGTTATCACTCATTGTTGCGTCCACTAAGTCCTAGTCGAATGTGCCTCGTACGGCTTTTTTCGTAGAACGGACTATCATGCTGCTAAAGTAAAATGCAAAACATGTTCTGGAGTAGTGAGCATGACTCTGTTGACGGTAAAGTGCCACAGATATTTGAATTTTGAAAATACTTTAACCAGTAACAGCGTCTAATATGAATCGTGCCCGCCTAATATAGTCAAAAGTCAGAAGCGAGGAGGTTCTAAGATATATTTGATAGGCTATCAGTATATCGCGAATCGACTGATCTAAAGAGGCTGGCAAATGCGAAGACCTACAGAGTTATTGATTTGAGGATTTATTTACCGCTACAACGGAGATAGATGATTAGTAATCTTAAAGGTGATCTTTTCCGTGTGATGAATACTTCTTTCACATCCCCATACTATGAGACCCTACGACGATTGCATTATTTCAAAAAGAATACGTACGTAGATCATCAACGTTGATGATCTATGCTGAATGATTGTGGCCTACTCGAGTTACATGGGAATGATGTGACTGATAACTAACGTCGAAAACACACCTCGTGGTCAGCACCTGACGTGGATTACCCTTTCGTCGTATCAAGGTACTATGGATGCCTTTTAAACCGTACAACACAGAGGACGTAATTACGGAAATGTATTAGTAAGAATGAGTGCAAAGAAGATAGTGAGACGACCACCGCATTGGCCAGTCCATGGCATAAGATTAACTGATGAACGTTGATCTGATTAGGACTCAGTGATATTTCACTGACCTTTCAGGTACAGTTTATATTGAACACTTTGGATCTGGATACTTATAAAATTAGAAGTCTTGGTGATCATCTGCCAAGCTTTTAGCCAAGAAATGAATTAAAATGGTTTATAAAGATCGTTGTTCACTAGTTCCTGCTTTACCCTTTCTCTCAACGGTATCAGAACACGGAAGATTCGGCCAATCAAAATCAAGTACATTATGTGGTTCATGACCCAGCTTGAGATGGAATGCAGTTCAAAACCTCAGAAGAATGCACAAATTCTGTATATTTTACCTTCTTTACTCTCACTAAGTGTTTTTAATTAAGGTCAGGCTACCCTCATACTTGAACAATGCGCAACCGAATTTGTATTTAAAGAAAGTAATTAACTGTATGCATCAAACTGTGGATTGAAATCCTTGCTTCTCACTGCAGCTGAATTTATGGAAAGAATCGTCAAAAAGATTCCTCTGAAAATATTCAGGCGGTTATCCCACAGCCTCCGAATAACAATGTGTCGTTCTCCCAAATAAATCATTTAATACAAACCTATTGGTTATTTTGAAAAGCCTATATCGTAATTTTCGACAAAAACAGAATTTTTTTCAATACTGACAAATACGGAATTCCAGTAATGAATGCCTGATAGGATTAACATATAGGGTAAATCATAGGGAAGATATCAAAGTCTTTCGCTTAAACATTATGACATTTGGAATCAGTGGTTTATCAAACTCCTTACTCGAAGAGATATTAACGACAACCCATGCAGAATCCTCTAAGGGATGGCTCATGTATACTTTAGTTTGGCAGATGTTTTAATGTTCAATCAATACCACTTCTATCGCAAAATTTATTTTACACTTCAGTCTCATAAGGAAGCATAGCGATGACCGCACCATTCCGCGAGCACAAATACTCTTCTCTCAAGTAACAAACAGGTTATCCGTTGCGTTTTGAAAAGTTCCCAACATCGAGGACAACTGAGAGAACTTGTAACGGTAAATAAAGCTTTGAAACGAGAAGTTTGTTAAATCTCTGATATTGATGCTGGCCTCAATAACTTTATCGGACTAAATCCTTGCTAAAAACGGGTCTTGTCACCTGGTGAACGGCTCTGGAACCCCCCAATTACATTTGTGCATTTATATGGATCACCCAACGTAAGCTAGAGATAAATCAAACAAGTCCCCTATGTTCTTAAGCATCACCTTGAATTGAAACATTTTAAGGCTTACACGAGCAATTAAACTGCACATGCTTTTTAGCCAGAATCTTAAATACAACCTCAGTTGCATAGTTATTGTTTTCGATGCCAGTGATTTATTCGTACTATTTTGATTAGTTAGAAGTAACCTAAAAAAGGCGCAATAAATGAGCTAGTAGTTTCTTATCCGGTAGGCCGTTAGTGCTATTCCTATCGTTTCGTTTAGTGGTGTTAGACATTTTGAACATTTGTGGGTGGATCTTAACACCCTAACTGCATACAAGGTTTCCTGTGCCCAAATTGTTTTACCAATCTCAGTATTCATGAACGTACCTGGTTCCACACGCTTTAGTAAAATATTTTCGTTATCCCACTTGTGGGACATATTATTTCTCGATGCTTCACTGAAAGCCTTATTTTATGTTCTAAGCTCGCAGTCGTTCACCTGGGCTTTCACGTGGCAACTTTTCCGCGGTGATGCATGTAATTCGTATTTACTAGGACACTGACCTAATTCTTTTGTATAAAAGACAAACCGAGTTGCGTTAGTTGGTTATAAACTGTATATCTCAACATTCAGTCTTAATTCTCAGTGTGATTCGGTTGCAGGATAAAACGTTTAAGATAACTGGAATTAACCTACTCCCTGCTTTTCAGGCTTCCGGAACATCTCAACCTACTACTGTTACTTTTTATGCCGTCTCAGTCTTGTCGCCTGAGCCTCAAGCACCCGTCACACAAATAACTACAAAAAAGTGTTTCTTATCGCGGTGAGACTGCGATTTATGGACGACCTTTGAGCGGCGCCAAAGTGACCTTGAGAGTGTCTACCTACTTAATAGGACTGAATGAGGGTTATAAAGCAGTTTGAAGAGTAAGTATTACGATTCACAGTTGAGGGTTTGGGGCTAGGAATTAGATTTCCGGACTGACATAAGCTAAAATGCCGAGACGCTATTTGGCCAAATGAGTGAATAAATTTCGTGCCGAAATCCAAGACCTACTATCCTAAATCTGATTGGTTCGTCCGTAAGTTATAGCCTCGCCCTTGTCGCTCTCACTTTTCACTTCATTACACTGCTCTGATCAGTAGTCTTTTTGGGGGTTCATTTTCACTATATTTAATAGAACTTGTGTCTTATTATTTGATATAACTTGACTGTTTTTTGTAATCACGCTGTAAAGCATTTATTGTATTTCAAACCTGACTTTTTAGGTGCTGATGCCCTTAATCCAAGCTACTTTATCGTTTGTTGTGGAACTACGAGATTTTCATAATATTGATCTCTACCATCGTGGGTGAGTTATTTACTGTCTATGATAATCATAAATTGAAATAGCTATTACCAAGTTCGTACTCACTTAAAAACAGGTGTGCAAACCGCAGGGACTACTGGATCTAACAATGGTAAATCAATGGCCTTTGTTGAACCGCCATCCCGTTGGGAACGAGCTAGTACACGACTCAAAGTGCCAGAAGCTGTAAAAGCCAGTTATATCGAGCCGAGTGTTTCTGTTCCAGCTTACACACCAGACAAAGCATGTAGCAAAACATTGTTGATCATGTATCGAGATGAATCGGCAAGGTTATGTGATGTGTTTGAACAGAGGGTATTGGTTCAAGTTGATCCGATCAATTTAGAGGAGTCTTTAGTAAAAAACGATCTTTTCCTATGCGTTGAGCTATGGTTTGTCGAGGACCCACTTGACAGGCAAGTCAAATTTATTATATCTAGTAAATGAAATAAATGTGTTGGCTTTTAAATGCTTTTATATTTCTGCTTTTATCTTTCCGGTAAGACAACTATTCCTTTTAACATTCCAATAGCTTCTGTACTTTAAATGATTTTGAGCAAAAACGAATAGGGCTCATGAATTATGCTCTTTTTATAATTTTCGTCAATCGGAAAATGGTGACTTCCAACACAAATAAATGAGTGAGAAATACGACCTAGATAATAAACGTGAAACAAAATCCTCGAGATTCAACCCACCAGCTCTCATCTACTTTGCTATAATGAAATTACTGGCACCAATAGTTCTTGCATTCCCACCAGAGCATATATTTCCACACCTTACATAGAAATGAATTAATTGACATTTGATACCATATAGGCTCATCAAAAATGAGACTAATAAATCAGAAAACAACGATGAGAAACTGATCATCTACAGATTTTAAATCTTCAAGAGCAATGCTATCAGTAAATTTAATGTTCTTAGGATATTTATTACCTCGAAATTTTGAGAGACTTTAATTTGATATCGTGCAGTCTACTGCATCTCTTGTGATTACGCATCGGTAGTTTATAAATATGGCTAGCATTGGACTTGATGTGTCCGTACTCTATGTTTACTTCTCTAGCACCAGGTTGTCTTTTTCAGTGCATTTTCAATTTATAATGATATTTATTCTCCTTTTAACATAAAGAAAAATAATTTGGCTCTGTAAAAGTTGACTATTTGTAGCTTGCTGTCTGTTATGTATCATATCTCGTAACGTTTAGAGTATCTCTCATATCCAACATAACGAATACTTCGGTAAATCTTATGTTCAAAAGAAAAGTTTAAGGAACACAGATTTCTTGTAATTAATGCGAGAAGAAAGCCATTATAATTCAAGTGTTGTCCAGTTGTTACTTTTTTCTATGAATAGTATTCTCAATTGTGTCATATTTTTCCAATTCTACGTATAAACTTGGAAAGTGAATTCCTCTGAAAGAGATGCGTAGTGGGATTCATTAGACTGTACAAATGGTCTCATTGGCTAAGCGAGGGTTTTTTTAATCTTCATTTTGAATTTATCTCATCTACGAATGTTTTCCAACTTACACTTATTGACCAACTATTAAGTACTTCTCAATATTTTTCGCGAACACCCGCTCACTTCACACTATATCATTGTCAGTTGGAGCTGGCATAAACCACATTTCTCTCTTTATCATCTGAACTGTAAGTTATCTAGTTGAAGAATTACCGGCGAAATAGTGCGCACTTTTATTGTGTATGTTTTTGTCATTGTCCTCGGTTTTTGAATCACCTTATCGAGTCAGTTTGTGATAATCATGGCAAAATGCAACAATTCTTAACTAATTATATAATTTAATAAATCTTAAACTTCGATAAATGTTGATATCTTCCGTACCAAGCTTCAAGTATAATTTCAGGTTCTTAATTGAATTCAAAATGGGAGACTGGCTTTAAAACCCTATTCTTCTTTCATATGTCACTAACTGAAAAGTAGAACGGTTTTGGGACTCAATATTTCTGTCAGCGCTTGCTGTTGGACATTAGACTAATTATGGCATTTCGTTAGTGATAATTCAGCTTCATCTAAGGTTCAGAACATTCTCCAGAGTTTGTCTCGTCACCAGTTGGTGGTTACTATGTCAAAGTTTCACAAATATATCTTCCGTTTTTTTAACTCATAATTTTAATACAGTACACATTTTCAAAAAAAAAACGCCGAAACAAACACTTAGATAACTATGATTATTTTCACTTAACAAGTGATCAATGAATAACTGTTGGTCCAAGTATTGATCAGCATTTTTTTAAAAATTTTCATCATAAGCTGAAAACGATTTACTGTGTTTTTGCTGCTAGTGTTGATAAGTTCTACTGCTCTAAGGTGGTTTTGTTTTATAAGACTATGTGAGTGATTACGTTGATCTTATATGATACGTTAGAATTTGGCTGTCGCTTCTATGCTTTGATTTACTGCATAAATCGTTTTTGTGATTACGTCATCTTTGTATTTTTAATAAGTATGTGCAGACAATAATTGTCTGTTTCTTCAAAATAAAACAAAAGTATTCCGTGCCGAATTATTCAGAATTAATATGTTCCACTTTAACAAATAACAAATCAAGGTCCTGCAATTGTTCAGTGGGTTTTATATCAAAAGAAAACAATTAATAAGGTATCAAATATAAAGTTTCTGAAACCAGTTGACAAAATGATAGTATTTATGGAATATGGTTATTTTGATGGATAATAAAATTACTATTCTGTCAACTATTTAAACTTCACACCAAATTTAGTTGTCTACTTTGATTTTTAGTCAATTTCTACCAATTATGAGCTTAGGAATTGTCATCGAAAGACTTTATTGGATGTTATCCAATCCCCTCAATAAATAATCAGTGACCATGTCTTTTGATAACAGTTTATCCATATACATCTCTAGGGCACTTAAACTTATATACGCGTAAACATAGGTTTCTCTCCACCGTTCTAAAGGGTGTAAGTGAGCATGGATTCTTCGCTAACTTATTATATGCTTTTCAGTTTTCTCATTATACATGATGCCTTTAAAACCATACACATTCAGTTACCCTTTAATTCTTTTCTTTTTGCCTCTATAATTCTATCAATAATTTTAGGATTTTATAGCATTTTAGTCAATTCTGGCAGATACTTCATCTTACCCACATATCACGTTATTTGCATACACCAATTTTCTAAATGCTTAAGAGAAAAGGAATTGTTGGTTTTTTTGACCAAAGCCCTCTTTTTACAAGCCATAACCGTACAGTCCAATTACATTTTCCCTCCCTGGCTAACTCGATAAATTGATATCTCTTGGGATTGGCTAAATAAATAAATAAATAAATAAATCTTATTTCACCCAACAGTATAAAGATAGCGCCTTTTATACGCTCTTCACTGTCGCTATCATCATTATTTTGCTCGTGTGAAATTTTCAGTCTTTCAACTTGTTTTGTATCTTTGAGTATCTTTCAAAGCAAATTTTGCTTACAAGCTGTGAAATAACACTCTAAACTACTGTTTTGTCTCGTCTAATTACAAGCCTCATCAATAACGAAGTCATAGTCAAGTATTTTGTTACATAACGGCCATCTGACCAGGAAACGATGCACAAAATCTTAGGCAGTTGATAATGTCAATTGAGACAGACAAACATCATCAGTAGCCTTTCTAAACCAGTCACTGTGCTAGGGTGCTTCAACTTATTTCACATTAACTCGCTGGTTGTTAGTGCATCTGTATTGCTTATACCCATCATGCTAACTTACACGTACGCATTCATGTACGTTATTTGTATTATTTTTCGTTTAGTTCATTTATAATGTCTCAATTTCGTTTGATTCCAATTGAACATCGTTTATAGTATGCGTATATGTATGCACCGTGCACATCTTTGAAATAATACGTGAGCTGGGATATACTCCTCGGTTGATCAAACCGAAGTAGATGATTCTCATAGGGAGCCACTTTTTGAGCCTATAACCTAAATGTCTAATCCGTAAGGCGAAGGAGCAACGTTAGATGCTTTCCCATGGTAGAGGGTGACCAACAATAGATTCACGACCGTTGCTGCTATTTTGATGTAGTGTTCGAGCCTACTTATCGTAACGAACCAATCGAGCTACACTGGCTGGAACGACCGTTCCTAAAGGTGCTACTATGCCAGACAAGTCGGTTGAGGAGCGGTAAAACTAAAAGCAGCAAACCCAAGGTCCGAGGGCGAAGTCATACTGCTGACTTTACAGAAAGGTGACAGCTGTCAGTTGTTTCCTTCAGACAACCAGCATAACAGCGGCGCTGCCTTCCCACAAGAAAGTGTGGGGTTAGAGACGGTCGACCCTAAAAGTGCACACCTCGCCTTATCCCGCGGATATTCGTCTCCGGCAGTAAGGTCCCAACAAGTACGGAGCTAACACGAAAATTACTCACAAGAAGGTCTTGTGTGATTGGCCTCAAGCAATTGTCTTTTGAGCACTGCGGTCACGCTCTCAGGTCACAAAGACCATCTCTAACCCAATTTCCTTTCCAGGTATTTCAGGAAGAACCCTTCCACGGTGTGGGAAACGGGAAGTGATAACTCTCCTCATACATCTAACAGCACTCAACAATAGATTCATACGCTATTCGCTCCCTCAGGATCCTAGATACTGTGTGCATCATTGGTTTTGAAGCATGGTTAAGGCACTCGGCTTCCCACCGTCTGTGACAGGTCATATATTAGAAACTCTCTTCATTTACGTTGGTTTGAACATCCCTCACATAATCACCGTGTTTCAAAACCAGGATAGCCATAACCAACGTAGAACCTAGCACATGTATTTCGCAAGCAAGTTATATGCACATCATTTCCATGAAAACCTGACCAATATTGATTTTTTCAGTAGTGAATTCATTCCAGTTAGCGTGTAATCGAACTAAGTTTTACTTTTATGATGACCTTTGGACCATTATTATTATTATTATTGTCACAATGTATTTGTTTTGAATGATTTTCGTCGAACTTCAAAATGAATAAGCTCTTTTGTTTTAAGATGTAGTTAATGATAGTCACGTATTGGTAATCTTTACCTTTGCATTGTGTAATATTTATTTTTCCATATGATAATGTTTTTAAGGTCAGCTTCTATTTGTTTACTTGTACGACTTGTTTCCACACAAAGTCATCTATTGACGACATGTTATCCTCACAGTTGTTTCATATTGATTTGGAGCATGGTTTATGGTCATCGCACTGGCATTATGCTAGACTTATTTGCTTTGGAGATCTAGGGACTGAATTGAATACGTAAGCTTTCTTCAGTTACGTTTCGGATATAGAAGGTTACTGAACATTAAAAAAATGATAAATTCGGTTTTTAATCTTCAGCAAGTATACGTTACATGTATATATGAAGTATACAAGAAAGGGACATTTTTATTCCACAGTTCACTCATAGGCATAGATGATGTTTCCACTTTTACTGCCTCAAAATGAAACCTCAACATACAATATTAACACGTTATCTAGTGGGTTGTCCAGGTTCACGGTAGAATGGTTGATTAGTTCGGTCCCTATCAAACCACCCATATTAGTTCATGAGACACAGCTCCACTATCCTCAGGGCACCGCGAGAAGGTCTGGGTCAAAAGTTTTCCCACCTGCCTAATAAGTACGACAGTGACTGACGTTAAAGTAAGTTGTAGAAGGTTAATGCATGATTAGATGGGTATATATATGTAAATTATTTAACAAACTGTTCTGGTTTTCAATTGTTACAAAAGATTCTGTTTTCCTTCTAGACCCTTTGCTCCTGAATTTCTGACTAAGGTATGTGAGCGTCAACTACGTATTCATTTAACACCATCTCGTGGACTTCACTATCATTTCACCGTATTCTTCGATTATTTTCATTTATGTGCTATTGAATTAGCACTTTATGGAGCATTAACAAACATCACTTCAAGTATTATTAGGTAAGTACTTCTTTAATATCCATTTTAAATAAATATATATTGTAAAGCATTCTACAAACTACTGGTTTATGTATTCATCTTTGAGTTATTTCGTTCGTACGGGGGTTAGTAACACTACCAGTCTGCTCAAAAAATGTAAGGCAGGGTCAGTGCCTACCATCTATTGGTTCAATAAGCTGGACATTGGCTATTCTCGAGCAGAAGCCTAATGGCTTAAACATTCGTCTTTTGTTCGATATATAGTTTGTATTCGTCACAGATTGATTTCAGCTCTGATACCAGTGGGGAAAATCGAATGTATTTAACACAAAGTTATTGGACTTGTTAATAAAATCTAACAATCATAAAGTAAATGCTTAATTTGCAAAATGTCCACTAATTGTCTCAAGATGACTCAGACTTCATTGTTCTTGCATTTTCATACAAATTGCATCCTGTTTCTATACTTTGCTATTCATTCCTCTTGTCTCTCTGCTGCCAGACCTTCTGTTCACGACTGACATCATATACTACTTATGTCAATATAAGTAGCACACACCACACAAGGAGTACTGGGCAGCCTTTGCATCTTAGTGGGGGACTCCTTAGCAGTGCACATTTACAAATCAACCAGGAAACTTCAGGTCTTACCTGAAAAGCTTAATTATTGGAACTATTGAGTTAACCTCCAACGATACAACTCCACCTTCAATCAGTTTGTGAAAAAAAGGAGACGACCATCCAATATCACTGATGACAACTATTTGACTCCCAATATGTCAGAACTCCATCAGTCATAACTAAATACTCAAGAACCTCTTGGATTAAGTCATTCATGAGCTGACTACCAAAGTTTGGTTGTAAAGGTTTTGTGGTGGTCTGTTTCTTTTGTTGGTAGTATTCGTCAAGGATCAAAAGTTGACATATTTCACTCTACCTAGTTCGATTTAGGTAATCAGATAGTAATACCATTTCGTATCTATAAAGCTTCAATAATAACCGAGAATACATACATTTACTTACTATGTTACACTGTTTTTCGACCTATAAATTGCTAACTTCTGATTCATTTGAAAGTCGGTTATCTATCAAAATTTGAACGTAATTTCACAACATAAATTTATTTTTCAGAAAATATACTTCAGAATTTCCTGTCTTGTTCAAAACATTGTTAATATTTATGTCTTCCTCGGTCTTTTAAAATTTTAAGTTATGCTTCTAAAGCCATTATGAATCTACAAAATTATAAGTATACTTCCGGCTTTCAATCTTTTCGTTTACTAACTAATCATACTGTTTTGTCAGTCAATTCAATATATGATATATAAAATCAATTCAGATTTTTCATACCATCTTTTCGTCCAATCCTTTTATGAAGGCATTGGCTTAGTGGTTTAGGCGTTTGACGTTCACAGGTTCGAACACAGCCAAACCTACTTCGGTTTTATTGACTAGGTATTATCACTAATCCTCATACCTAAGAGTGTGGCTCAAAGCCATTTACATGAATCTGTACCTGGCGAATTAGTTAAATAATCAAAATTTATGAAAGCCATCTTTTATCTATATACTTGTGTTAAACGATAATTACTGAAGTTGAGTCACTTCTGTAGTTTCTATACTGAGTATTACGAGCCTATGTTTGTGCTAGTGGGAAAAGCGGAAAGATTTAGTTATTGTATGATATTGAACGTCACCATGAATCTTTAGGTACCTAGATATGCTCCATGGTTAGCTTCTCGGTGTATGTTCCTGAGGATTCTCACACCAGGATAAAATTACTTTTCACGACTTCTTAGTTTTCTATGATTACCTAGTTAATGTCATTCCATAATGTAAACCATAAATAATTGTTTTAATTAAATGAGTTAAACTTGCAAAACTGTATTTTACCTCAGTAATTTTCGCTATTTGTTTATGACAAATGGTTTCGAAAGCTGTTTCTTTCTCTTTTATACATAGTTGGCCAAAATTTTCACCACATAATACACCATTACAAACAAACAACCAAATAATTAGTTTAGCTCAACAAACATGGCATGGTATCATTTGCAGTATCAAACAGGTGTGTACATTGTTTGATTAATTATTTATGTTCTTATTCTTATAAATCATTCTGGTTAAATAAAATTATTACTATTTATTTCGTAAAGATAATAGGATTCATTTTGTTGATCCAAAACTGTGGATGAATTGTTTAACTAACCATAGTTTCTAGTTTAGCACCACTTATCTTTTTACGTAAAATGACGTTTTGCGAAATTTTACATTCATAGACTAATCGTTAATAACTATTGAAAACCAGGAAACTGGTTGACTGTTTCATCCTAGTATGAAACTTATCAACAGTCTATATCCAAGTCATCACGGAAGAATCAAATCCAGGACCTTTGTGTTTCACGCTGAACCCTTTAAATCACTTACTTATCACCCAGTTGCTTGCATGTCTAACTAATCAATTCATGGTACTGTGCGACGACCTTCCGCCACCTATCTCACGTTTAATATGGTTGAACCATACTAACCACTTTTCTTTACTATAAATTTTAGAATTATCTGTCGAAGTAAATTACTAATGAGTATATGATTATTATTAGTATTGGTGGTTTGAGGAGATTGTTTGAACTTTCTCAGTTTATATCTTGAACTGAATCTAGGTGTTACCGTCTGTATGGACAGTTGCAAATTTTCCTACTACAACGAGATAACTGTCTAGTACTTCCTAGTTTTCAATAATGGTTTACGACTAAGCCGTTATGTAAACTGTTAAAAATGTTTTTCATTGCGATGTTTCCGATGGTGAAATAAGCAGTCATTGAGAATTATTTATTTGAAAAATATCGAAAAAGACTATTCCCGTCTTTTCTTAAACACAATTGATGTTTATTTGAACAACACAGTTTTTAATCAGTCTTAATGAAGTGGATGCATTCACTTTTTATCTTAAAGCACCTGTACTTTTTATTCCATGAATTCATTTTTTCTTATTGTTTTTGCTTAAAATTTTCTACTAATATTCACTGTTACAAATCCCATTTCTCTGGTATCTATCCTGATAATTTAATCTTACTATGATCATTTAGTGTCGTAATTTGAACTGATTTATTTATATTCCAGGTTCTACGTCGCGCACGACTAATTGATTCCTATTGTAAATGACTACTCTTAGAAAAAAGACTATTAATACACTATAACACTGACGCCTTTATGAGATTTTTCCAAGTAATATTAAGTTTATAGTCATACTTTTTATTCAATTAATCTCTTAAAACAACTGCTACAATAATTCACCAAATAATGTTTCATAAACAATAAAACTGAAAAAAAATTATAAAAAAATAAAATACTCCTTAAAAAAGAAAAAAAAGGAAAACATTATGTATCGATCAATACATTTTAATTAAACTGTAAACCAATAGAAATCTCATCCAGTTACAAAGTGGATATTACTGACTGGGAAAACCTTAATAGAAAATTACACCAAGATTGCTACAGGTTTCTATTCTATCTCGGATAATGCTTCAAGACACTAGGTTGGATGAATACTTAGACCCAGCCGAAAAAGTCTTTGTGAACTAACAAATACTAATCTTATATATATATATATATCATACCAAGGAGCTATTCCATAACTAGATATGCGCTATCACCCATTCTCAACCGGAAAATCTAAGCTAGACCAGTATATGTCTCTCTAGCTTCTATATTATGAAGGCGGACTTTATCTACTTTCTCATCACCATTGGCTCCTCAAACATAGCAGCGTCTCGATTGCTTACTATAAATCACCTTTAGTATTTACAGGGACAGTTTCTTGTTTGGATGCTTCATTTCAATGGTCCAAGAACCCTAATCATGACTCATCTCAATCAACTACCTTTTGAAATATTTGACTACGCCTCCAATCTATGATACCAGTAATATTTATCCAGTTCGTCTTACAGGCTCTCAAATAAAATCGCCTGTCCATAATATATGAAGCTCGGAACATATCAATTTACCTCCTCTTTACATCAGTTTGAGAGTTTACTCTTTCAGAGTGTCTCAAAATCTCGTAACAACCTTTATTAAATTTACTTAGCAATTAGAACTAATAAATCTTAAATAAGTTTTATTTATCGCCCCAAGACTGAATTAATGAATCATTAGTCTATCAAGTCATTAACTGTCGGTCTGATTCATGTAGAAAGCTGCATAATACCTGATTGAGGTCCACATAATAACGATAATCAGTGGTTTGAGACTTTAGGTGATATGGCTCAAAGTCATTTGGAGTTGAAAAGATGTATTCACTCTTTATCCTTTTTCCTATTTTGAATTTCAGTATCCTTCCATACATGTCTTCTATCTTCTCAAACCACATTCCCAAGGTTTAGTCTTTTTTTATCACTGCTACTACATTATGTCAATGTTTTCATCTTGTGCCAATCAAATAATGGCAACATCTTTGTCAAGCTCCATTGTGATAATGACTATCTGTCTCTTTACCCAATCATTTTTAAAGAAAGTATTGATCTATAAACTGAATAACTGTGAATACCTGGTTCATTCGCCGTAAACCATGCTAATCACAACTAAAATAAATAATCTGATTTCGATCGTTTTCAATCACCCAGTGTATCATAGCGACAACAAAATATATTGAAACCATTAAATAAACGTTAAATTTAGCTTTACAAATTCAACGATTATTTTATTATTTTTTAATTTCTGTATTATGATATAGTTTCAGTCACTAAACAATATGATGAAGTAACTTCTTTAATTTCATTTCATTTTCCAGCATACTTTTAATCAAACATAATGCTTCATTTTTCCATGAACTAATCAGTTATTTTTCTCCATAGAATGGATACATTCTTAATAGAAATTTTGATTATCATAATCTTTTTCTGATGTTTTGTGATATTGTGTCTCTTTGTTAATTTAAGTTAGTGGAGGTAAAATAAACATTTTGCAAAACTATCTATGTTTTCACACCAAAGATTAACTCATGGTTAAGTGGTATAGTTTGTTTCTGCTTAACATAATAATTAAAATCAGCGTTTTTCCCAAGACTATCTGAATTAATTTGATCAAACGGTACGATTACCTCAAACTTTTTCATTGTCATATGTAAAATGATATCCTCAGATTATGTAAATGAAATTTATGCCGAACATAGTTTTTATACATACATACTTAGTTATTCTATATCATGTTACTTCTATGATGAAGAGGTGACTTAGTGTTTAAGTCGTTGAACTTTCGGCAACGAAGTCTCACATCCGAACTCTAGCTCTACCGGATTGATTTACGGCAACCAAATTGTATCACCAGCCATCACAATATGAGTGTTGTTTCAAAGCTAAATACACAAATCTGTATTTGGTAAATGAACTGAATAATTATAAAATGCTACCAATAACTTACTTTCACATTAATCAAACCATATCTTACGAACCAACTAATAAACAACCAATCAATTTGTTCTTAACTTTGATAAACTAAATATGAAACTCATATATCAACTGTACCTACCACAAATATTACTCTTTTGTTATAATCTCTGTCTCTTTTAATTAAAATGATTTGTTGTAATTAAGATGCAACGAATTGGAAAGCAATAATTTTGGTTATATTGTAGGTCAATTGTTAGTTTCGGTGTTTATGTCTTTTATCTATATTATTATTATTACGTTTGTTATTTCTATACTACCCATGTATATAAGCAGTAATTTTATTATTAATTCTCTGGAAATAACTTATAACTTAATTTCAAACCCTTTTTGTAATGACTTTAATTAATTGACATATTGATAAAACATTTAAAGAAAAACCTAAGTTATCTATTATATATACGTAAATGTATTCTGATTGAATATGTTAATATATTTACGTATATATCTAGTAATGACCTCTTATAAGTTTTGTATTCACTGAAAAATATATTAATCAACTGATAATATTACTTTCTTGGTAGTATTCAAATAAAACAATTAAATGTCTTAACATTGTTTATGATTTATTTTGACCTTTAAAAAAATATTTCAATTTACTAAAATACAAGTTCATTTACTGAGCTTTTAGTCATACCTTGATTATCTTAGCGGTTGTGTTACTGTTCGATTTGTTCTTAAGTGAAATAAGTCGCATGAGGATTGTGTTTGAACCTGAGGATAGTTGTTTACAACCATAGGACTCTAGATGGGAAATTTGTCTGTTTAGTTCGCCTGTGTTAACGAATACAGCAACTTCAATACCTTCTAACGTGCACATACTAGAGTAATGGTTAATATATATTACCCAGAAATTACAGTCAAGGATGTGCTATCATATCTTTTTATCTTGAATTTGTAACTTGATTAGTCTTATATTACACTGAAAATCACATCATAATTTGAACTGTACCACTGATCGTGTTGGATTTGATTGCAATATGAATCACTGGATTATTCCTATGACATTATTTTCCTGTTTTCTTACGTGATTTAATAATCGTTGAAATAACTATCATTCTCTGTTTACACTCCTTCATGCTTTTATGACTATTGATTTTCAGTATGATCTGGAATATTTCGGTCTGTATTTTGAAGACTAATTAGTTTCGTATAACTATCGAATTTCCATAAGGGTTTTTATCCTATCTTTAATTGTATCTTCAACAATCAGCTAAAGGCATAGGACTTTTGTGTTATTATTTTCTGTGCCCATTGACAAGGTTTATCTTCGAATTTAAGCGGTCTTTCGAAAACTGAAACTCGCTTTACACAACATCATGTTGAAACGTGTATTGGCTTACGTCTTACGTCGCTCCCTCATCTTTTCTGGTAGTAATCCCCTTTACTCTAGCTCTACAACGACTCAATTACTCCTCGACTACGGTCAAAATAATATCTATGATTGATATTGGCTACCGTCGCTTACGATGTCATTTTCACACTAATTATCACTTAGTCATAATCAACGTACATTTTGCGGATGTGCATCAGTCTCAGTTGTCATACTATATCAGTAAGACACGATTAAATGAATATTATGAATAAAAATAGTGATAAGACAGACTAAACATTGAAGGATAAGGTGTGAAAACTAGAAATAAATTCCTTAATAATATTGAAGGTGAAGAATTAATTTTGGTAATTGACTAACATAACATTTTCGACTGTTGAGTGATCACTGTGGCTAATGGCGATAAGCATATCTGTCTTCGAGAACACGTGATTTATTATTATTACTGTTGGCGAAATGTTTTACGTGCTAACAATTTCTGCAAAAAAATCATCTCACAGATACGTATGTTCTGTCCTACTGTTAAACACCGTCATCGTACAGAATCACTTTTATTTTGTTTATGTAGTGTTCAAATGAAAATCCTTATTCCATCATAAATTGAAGAATTAAAACTATTCGTTAAAAGAGATACATTACTGGGTGTTATGTATTAATTTTATCTCAATCTACGTCAATTCATATGTAAATTTAATTAATAACGCTATATTCAGCGCCGATTTCATATTCGCAAATATTACACTATTGAGATATTCATTTCAGATTTACTACAGTTGGTTGAAAACCGATAATCTAGCTGTAAACCAACAAGTCAGATAGTTTTTTTTCAAATTGCAATACTGACGTTATTCCTCTGTACTATTTAAACGTCCCACTCACTGCCTTCTTGCGGCAGTGTTTTTACGAAATTAAGAGTATGGGTTGGTGGATATGGAAGATCTACCTATGGAATGTGGAAAACCCTGATTCCAAACCAGTGGGGCACATTAGCTCCAGGATTCTGAGAGAACAAATGAAGTATGAACCTAATGGTGGTCACCGACTACTATGGGACTGCATCTCCTGATGTTGCTTCACTGTCTTATGGGTTAGAACTGTAGATCATAGGATTGGAGTGTGACCCCTTTAAGAAAACCACCTGTTCCTTCTTTGGTGTCCGGGCAGTATTTTAACCCTCACAAAAATCTAGTGACGAGGTGTGACGCATATGTTTAAATAAACAAATAATTTAATTAAGCTGTTTATTTACTCTCTGTAGAAGCAACTTAAACTAATCTGCGAAACGTCAAAAATTCTGATTTTTATCCAATGAGGTATCACAAATGTGTTTTTATTTTATCATCAACAATCTACCCAGTGCTTAATCTATTTGAAATTATTAAATCAAACCTTGGTAATGAATAATAACCCTCAACTCTTAGATTTAATGTTTGTTTTTAATTATCAAAATTTATTGTGTTCATAATTTTATCTAATTTATTGCCTCATTAACATTTTTAAAATTTATTTTAGCCTAACAGACGTCATTTTGCACTTGCTATTCACCGACATCTCTGTCAAATATTATTAGCGGCAAGAGAATCCATGTTATTATTTTGGCGTGAAAGTCTTCCGTATTTACCTTCAAATATGAGACCACGTATTGGTGAGTTTCTTTTCATTTTCGTCATTAACCTTCAGTTACTTTTTTCGTATATTTTAAATAAAGGATTTTAGTAGTTTATATGACACTAATTAATGATTGACCATAATAACAACAGAGATGATTCGATTGTCATGAATAGTATCAGCGTATGAAGTTACTAACTATTGATCTGAGCCGTATTTGTAGGTACTTGATTGTTTGTCCTCATGAATACAACAACTCGTACTTGAAGGTGTTGTATGAGAAGTCTCGGAATCAGCCTCAGTGGTACAGATCCATCCTCTTTCTTCCCCTTGCCTTATATTTTAAATGCTAAAATTATCCCATACTTTTTTTATCCTTCGAATTCACCCTTTTCAAATCATATGGTTTATCTTCAATATTTTAAACTTCCACTACTACTGTTGCCAATTATACTGCTTAATTATTTATCTGGATAACTTTACCTAGTTGCGCTGATAGAATATATCAACTTGAATTGTTATACATTTGTACCAGGTTGTATGTTGTTCATTACTGAATACTACTTGACCTTTATATGGAAAGCAAAATAAAGGCCTTACATATAATTCATTGAACTTTTCATCATTAGCTGTCTCCAATAATGAGTTCAACATTGTTTATACTGTATAACATCCATATGAATTTTTTAAACAATTTACAATAAACTATATTCGAAGTTATTTTCAAATTTTCGATGAAATTCCTTTTATAAACTGCCTTGTATTCGCAGATTGAAATCATGGGTCAGTTGAAGCTAGAGCACCATGGAAAGCCTGTCTTGTATTCAACAAAAAAATGATATGAATTATTTAGAACGAAAATGTATTTATATTTTTGTTTTAATTACATTTAAACGTTTCAAGCATAATCATAAAAACGTGACTGAATTAATACTGAATTAATAAAATATAACTAGTAATAACATAGATTATGTAACGTCTATAGTATAAATAAAGAAAAGATTTAATTCTAGTAAAAAACACTCATTTTGTTGTATAAAAATAATAAGATACGCTAGTTCAAGGTTATAATAAATTATTGTCCTGGGAAACAATTGTGACTAAGAAAATGAAGTTAAAGGGATAGGAAAAAAAACAATTCAAAGAAAGAAAATTCTATAAATCTGAAAAAATAAGTGTAATGCGTTAGTTCAAATAAATAGATCATGTCTAGAAAATGCAGTCCGTAACACACGTTTCCTCCTAGTTGAGACTCATTATTCGCCTTTATCTACGTCCACAGTATTGTCTGTAGTGAGACTCGAACTCAATATCTTTCGCTTCTAACAATCGCTTGTTATTCACTGACCTGCCCCCAAATGTCCTGGTACGGCCAAGAGTGGGGAGAGTCCGCTCTCCCTCTCGAAATGCTCTCACATGGCCACGCGTATGTAGCCTCTGCCAGGGAAGTCCTACTCACTGCCTTCTCGTGGCGAGGGTGTTTACGAAATTGAGAGGACGAAAAGCGAATGTCCGGCGTTTTAGCCAGGTTGGTGGACATGGAGAGTCCACCTAGGGGAGTTGGAAAACCATGATTCCAAACCAATGGTGCACATGGGCTCTAGTATCCTAAAGGAACAAATGGCTTATGAACCAATCGTTGGTCACTGGCTACCATGGGACTGCATCTCCTTACGTTGCTCCAGTGCCTTGTGGATCAGACCTTCATGTTGAAGGCTCCGAGCGTGACACCCTAGGAAAACCACCTGCTTCGGTCTGGGCACCCAGGCAGTATCACAGCCCTCACACAAATCAAACGAGATTTGTGTGGCACATATGTATTTGGTGCCTCATTGTACCAATATCCATGTGTTAAAATAAATAAATAAATAATTCACTGACCTTCTGAATCCATGTGCCGAAAAGACTGACCAAACTTCAGTCCTGAATATCAGCAACGGAATAACTCAAAACCTTTCTCATTCCGATATAACATATTGGGGACAAAGTGTAGAAAAGTAATGGATGTATTCCTATGAGAGAGTTCGCTTAATAACCAGGACTAAATGAGGGTTATGAACCTTTGTGAGGAATTAGAATCATAATTTACAGTTAATGATTAAGCTTAGGAATTAGATTTAGGGTTTTCATCACGAACTGACATCAACTATAATGCCAAAACTCTATTTAGCCAAATGGATGAGTGAATTTCGCTCCAAAATCCGAAATCTATTATCTTATTCGTGATTGGTTCGTCCATAAATTATGTTCTCGTTTTTTTTCTAGAGTTCAGATTTTAGTTCATACATAACTAAGTTTTTATTGTTTTAAAAAACCTAATACAAACATTTCAACAGTAACACTACATCTGTTCGTGGATCTCGTTTATTGAATGACTAATATCAATAACGTCAAATGTTGCTGATCATAGTTGTTATACTGTGGAAAATCCATCTGAAATAGTATATTTCCAATCATCAGTTACCGTCGTTTCTCTCAATAATTCAGATTTTAAATAAGAGTCTGTTGAACTACACCGTATAATTAATTAAGGGGAAGTTTACTAACTGTAATATTGACTAAATAAAATTGCCCTATTCATTAATTGCTTTGTATTTCAATGCTGTATCAAGTGAAATATTTAATATTTAGGTCTGAATACGGTGTATCCACAGTTTGTAATTACTAGCTAGGAACATTTGTACCATATACCTTTATTGATTTACGAAATGTTTATGAATTGAGTGTGGTAATTGAACTTCGGAGCTGCTCTAATGCCTCTGATTAACGATTTATATACGCACAACAGTCAATTGACATTTGCCGTACATACTTTTCTACTGTTATTATTTATTCCGATAAGTAATCATAATACAATTGCATAAGAATAAAACAAATAGAGTATTGAAAACCGATGGCTGTTAGTCTTGACGATATATATCCTTCAGTTTAGTATAACTTTTATGTATGAGCAGACAACTAATCAAAGGTTAAGAGGGTTTGATTTCAGTGTAAGCTTCTAAAAATCAGTACTAAACAAAAAAAAAGCTTTCGCATACCACTTTCAATTTTACGTGAGAGAAAACGTATTATCACGTCCTCTTACTCAATAAGATTGTTTTTTTCTGTTCATTGGATTTGTATCACCTCTGATCCTTTTAAACGGTATTTCGTCAGTAGATTCTCACTGCTTACTTTTCGTCTTGTTAATTTTCTATTGATGTGATGATATGTAGTGTGGCAACTTGAGCGGATAAACATTTGTACAACGTTTTATACTGATAATAAGAAACTTTAAGTCAAATAAAAGCAGGTATTATAAAGTGGCCCCCGAATCAAAAAGTAGTGTCAATCCATGAGGTACTTATTCTCTGGTTGTCTGCCTGATCATCAGAGTCTAGTGATCGGAGACATTGTCTAATTTGGTCCTAAACCAGTCACAATGTTCCAGATTCTCCCACTCTTCATCATCCTCTTAATCTTCAGTTCCAGTATTTCTGCATACATATCGTCTCATTTTTGTGTTTTCGAAATAGACTTTCAATTTTTAGTTGTTTCCGGCGTTACTGATGTTAAACAATTTTTAAAAAAATTTATATCGTCGTGTTAACGTAACATGACAGCATGGACAAGCACACACTTGTGTCAGACTCCACGTTACTCATAACTGACTGACGGGCTGACATTTTTAATCTTTATTTATTGTGTTTGTCTAGTGAATAACTTGATTTTTCTTTGAAATTACAGAACCTGTTGACTTTCAAAGTAAATTGGATTCATTTATACAAATAGCTCAAGTGAGTTTTATTAACTTAGTTGTCACTGAATAATCCTTAAAAACATTAACCGTTGACTGTCTATATTAGGTGACTGTGGACATATTAATATTCAAGTTTAACGTTGCAGTGCTCCTGTCGTGATAATGTAAGTGTTTTAATCTTGTCTTAGATGTAAGTTCAAGAATATATGTTACTGACAAATCTTAGTGATAGCTAGGACAAAGAAAAACACTTTGTCCCTTGGTACCAATTTAAGATAAAATTCCGTTCCTAAATTATCTGTTTTAGTAGCTGTTATCAAGAGTTGCAAGTCCTTGTCATCTGCTTTAAGAGAACACGATTTTACACATTATATTGGCTGTCACTCCAGTTCGAAAAGGTTGTTTGAATATATACACGATTATAAATAAAAAATAACATATTTGTAATATCCCAATCAGTAGAAAAGTTAAATTTTCAGACGTTTCGTGACTCAGTACAAACCACTTCTTCAGAGAATAAATAACCGAATTGTTAGAAGTGACTTACACTGAGTCAAGAAACGTCAGAAAATTTAATTTTCTTCTCATTGAGATATTAAGAATATATTATTTTTACTTAGACAGTTTACCCAATGCTGAATTTATTTGAATTATCGAGTCAAACCTTAGTAATTATACCTATATACACAATTAATTTATCACTAGATGATAAAAAATGTTATACTTGCCTAGTTCGCTAGTTCCCAACGAATTTTTACGATCAGTTCACTAAAAGTTGCAGTTACGTTTTCCCAGCGATTGCCAGCTGTCGACCGTAGCTTCTGCCTTGATGTGATGGTCGGGCTTGCCTATCGTGATGACCCAACCGAGCTATATTGGCTGGAACATATGTTCCTGTAGGTTCTACCATGCTAGGCAGGTCGATTGGAGAACCGTTAGACTAAAAGCAGTAACTCAAGGTCTGAGGGCGAAGTCGTACTGCTGACTGTAGAGGAGTACGACAGCAGTAAGGTGTTTCCCTCGGACAACCAGAAACTGTAGCGACGCTGCCTTCTCACAAGAAAGGAAACGGTTAGAAAAGGTCCACCCCAAAAATGTCACACCCCACCTCACTTCACGAATTACCGTCTCCGGTGGTAAAGCCTTTTGAAGAACGGAGCTAACACGTTAAAAACTCCCCACAAAAAGGCTGTGCGCGACCGGCCTCAGGCAGTTGTCCCTCGGGTTCTGCGGTCACGCTCCCAGGTAGCCAAGACCAACACTTATCCGACTTCTTTTACAGGTTCCTCAAGAAATACCCTTCCTCGGTGTCAGCAACCGGGAAGTGATATCGGCCCTCATACCTGTTATGACCTTGAACGTCTGACTTTTCTATCACACGATTTATCTACCAATCGAATACGACTTATACGAATCTTCACACTAGGCCAACCAATGACGTTCAACCGGTGTGGGCAGTTTAGCGTCCTTATTGGTCCTATGTCCTACGAGCCCTTCCACTTGAGTACAGAACACAATACCAGCTTCCGAATCAGAGCAGATCATTTATTTCAGACATACTTGGTTTATATATCAATCAGACAAACCGCAACGTACCATAAAATAGGAAATAATACTTGTACACAAATAAGCCAAAAAGTGGCTGTGAATGTGGGAGGCATTAGTTAATAAACTGAACATAACTTAAAACCGTAAATCGTACAATAATAAATTATAGGTCAAAATAAAGCTTATCATAAAAGGAATATAAATATACATAATGTAATTGTTGAGTAGTTACACAATAAGAATATTTATAGAATATTAGTCCATGAATAGTCCTTGGAAATTACCTGTAATTTAATATTCACTGCGATATAACAATACCCCTAACAGCACACGAGACCAAGTCGGTCACATTCAAATCCTCCCCACACATCCTAATAACCCTTCTCACGTCCCTTCATCACCTCGCACCTCTAGTGCAAACGATTCGACAACGCAGAACTTTATTCCTGGTCTCCTGAAACCACACTCCAAACTACATGTAGGAGCTTTCAACGTTCAAACACTGTGACAAATAGTCAGTCAGTCAGCTACAAAGTAGGACCAGGCACATATGTGCATCGGTCCAGGTTGCCATACCGCATCAGCACAACAAGATGAACACCGGATTCATAGCAGTGGTTATGTCAAAGGTGGTAATATATAAGAGAAAGATTGCCTATAGAGATATAATACAAGAAGAAATAATTGGTTCGTAGAAAGTAAGATATGAAGCGATTTTAATCTCTTAGTTTAAGGGAAGATAGAGACTGTATACACCAACGCCGTTGTGATCGATCCTGATCCATGTCACCAAGAGTCTCCAACCATTGGTTACGATAGTCACGCGGACCCCAACCAAGTAGTCTGCATCTACCAACATGGCTCAGACTACAAGTTAGTGACTTCAAGAACTGATGCCAAGTTTTGGTTTGGCCGCCCCTAACTTTCTTCCAACCATCCCCAACACCGGTTAGTATTGCACGTCGTGGTAATCAGTGTTCAGGCATACGTAATACGTGGACCTGCCATCTCACTCGACGAAGATTCACAATCTCATCAACTGATTTACCATCATTCCCTAATACCCTGCGTCTAACCTGAAGCAACAACTTGCATTTAGAGGGAGAGAAGCGCATTCCAAACATTCTGGCATTGTTGCTCAGTGCTACTAAAAGACTGCGTCTTCACCAAACAGGACTATGTCATCTGAGTATTCTAAGTCGATAAGTGGACCTCCTGGAAGGAGATCAATACCTGAAAATTCAGTGGACGAGAGTGTTATTTCCATCAATAGGTCTATGATAAAGTTAAACAAAAATGGAGAAAGTGGATAGCCTTGACGGACACCACTTGAGGTTGCAAAAGCAGATGACAGTTCGCCATAAGCTCTGACTCGACTAGTAGTGTTCGAGTAAAGAGCCTTCACAAGGTTTATGTACTTCTGAGGTACGCCTTTCAATGACAGACACTGCCACAGAATCTCGCGGTCTACCGAGTCAAATGCTGCCTTCAAGTCAAGAAAGATCACCATTGTCGGACGCCGATAAGTATGCCTGTGTTCTAGAACCTGACGAATGGTGAATATGTGATCGATGCAGCCACGACCAGGTCTAAAGCCAGCTTGGTTCTCTCGTGTTTGCAGTTCACGAGTCTTAGTTAGGCGTCTGATAATTATCGATAATTATCCGTCTCCGGCGGTAAGGCCCTTTGAAGAACGGAGCTAACACGTCACAAACCTCTCACGAAAAGGCCGTGCGCGACCGGCCTCAAGCAGTTGTCCCTTGGGCACTGCGGTCACGCTCTCAGGTCACTGAGACCACCTCTAATCCAATTTCCTTTTCAGGTACCTCCAGAAGAACCCTTCCACGGTGTGGGCAACCGGGAAGTGATAACCGCCCTCATACCTCTAACAGCACCCATGACCACTGTATTCATAATCAACCTTCCTCTTCAATTCCTATTATTCCTCCTACATCGACTTTCAACCTAAACTTCCTCCGGCTTCCTCCTCAAGTGTCACCATAGCCAACGATTCTAGTGCTCAAAACCTGTCCCAGGTCTACTGAAACCTCGCTCCAAACTACACATTGGAGCCTTCAACGTACGCACCCTATGTCAAATCGGTCAGCAGGCTTCCTTGGCTAAAACCCTAGAGTCTCTTTCCATTGATGTATGCTGTGTCTCCGAAACACGCATACAGGATTCCAGTGTGGTCATTCACTTGACCTCACCTCGGCAAAACGGAGAGCCAACGAGATACACCCTCGTGTATCTGGTGACCCGATGGCCAGTTCTCGTGGACTGGCAGGTGTAGGCATAGCACTAAGCATGAGGGCGGAACAAGCACTGCTAGAGTGGATCCCCGTCAACAGTCGTCTATGTGCTGTTCGGCTAAACGGCTCCGTAAGAACTCGGAAGGATAGGGACACACGTCGTTGCCTTTTGTCGTTTCTGCCTACGCTCCCACTGACTGCAGCTCAGATGAAGTGAAAGATGAATTTTACAGAAAGCTGTCCGAACTTCTTCAGAAAGCTAAACGCTCAGACATAGTACTCGTAGGGGTGACTTTAATGCTCAGATAGGTAGTTTAAACCAAACAGAAAGGCATTTAGGTGGATATTTTAGTATTCCGGCACAGCGAACAGATAATGGTGATCGTCTGCTGCAACTGTGCTCAGACAATCGTTTATTTTTAGCAAACACAAATTTTAAGCATAAGGAGAGACATCGTCTAACATGGCGACCCCCTACACCAAACCAACGATGGACTCAAATAGACCATATTGCCATCAGTCATCGTTGGAGAGGGTCGGTAGAAGATTGTCGCTCATTCTGGAGTACCTGCTTGGACTCCGACCATGCCCTAATACGGGCACGCATCTGCTTGCGCCTCACTGGACGCAAAAAAGCCACATTAAAAAGACCCATTAGAACTGAGTTGAGTAACGAGAAAACCAAAAGTAGGTTCCAGGAACAACTGAGGTCACACTTAGGTAGTTCTGAAGACGAGGCTGACCCAGATGTTGCTTGGAAGGGCATACAATCAGCTGTGGAAACAGCAGTGACATCTATTAGTGATTTAAACCAAAAGGTTACAAAAAACCAGTGGATTTCTACAAGTCTATTGCACTGATGGATTCTCGCAAACTCGTCCCATCAGGTTCTGAACACGATGAAGAGCGAAACAAATCAGATCTAGGTTAAGAAAAAGTCTAAGAAACGACCGTGAGCAGTGGTGGGCAACGAAAGCAAAAGAGATGGAAAAGGCGGCGACTATAGGGAACACAAGACAGCTTTACAGACTAATAAAAGAAACTGGAATTAATAAGTCAAGTGTAAGTGAGATTATATCGGAAAAAGACGATACTCTCATCTGCTCCCAGTCCAGACGTTTAGAACGATGGGCGGAACATTTCAGAGAACAGTTCAGCTGGCCTTCAGCTACTCTACAACTACCCTCCATTCCCAGACAGTGTGAATGGAACATTGAAGTAGGTCCCCCAACTCTAGCTGAAGTTCAAAAGGCTATAGTTAATCTGAAACGAGGAAGGGCAGCTGGTCCAGATGGACTGGCTCCAGAAGTCTTTAAGGATGGTGGTCCAATTTTAGCGATTAGGTTGACTAATATTTTAGCTAAAATCTGGGAGTTAGACGTTATCCCATCTAACTGGTCACAATCACTTATCGTCCCAATATATAAGAAAGGGTCAAAATCATCCTGTGACAACCACAGAGGGATTAGTTTAACTAATATAGTATCTAAAATACTAGCCTCGATAATTATCAGACGCCTAACTAAGACTCGTGAACTGCAAACACGAGAGAACCAAGCTGGCTTTAGACCTGGTCGTGGCTGCATCGACCACATATTCACCATTCGTCAGGTTCTAGAACACAGGCATACTTATCGGCGTCCGACAATGGTGGTCTTTCTTGACTTAAAAGCAGCATTTGACTCGGTAGACCGCGAGATTCTGTGGCAGTGTCTGTCATTGAAAGGCGTACCTCAGAAGTACATAAACCTTGTGAAGGCTCTTTACTCGAACACTACTAGTCGAGTCAGAGCTTATGGCGAACTGTCATCTACTTTTGCAACCTCAAGTGGTGTCCGTCAAGGCTATCCACTTTCTCCATTTTTGTTTAACTTCATCATAGACCTATTGATGGAAATAACACTCTCGTCGACTGAATTCTCGGGTATTGATCTCCTTCCAGGAGGTCCACTTATCGACTTAGAATACGCAGATGACATAGTCCTGTTTGGTGAAGACGCAGTCTTTTAGTAGCACTGAGCAACAATGCCAGAATGTTTGGAATGCGCTTCTCTCCCTCTAAATGCAAGTTGTTGCTTCAGGTTAGACGCAGGGTATTAGGGAATGATGGTAAATCAGTTGATGAGATTGTGAATCTTCGTCGAGTGAGATGGCAGGTCCACGTATTACGTATGCCTGAACACCGATTACCACGACGTGCAATACTAACCGGTGTTGGGGATGGTTGGAAGAAAGTTAGGGGCGGCCAAACCAAAACTTGGCATCAGTTCTTGAAGTCACTAACTTGTAGTCTGAGCCATGTTGGTAGATGCAGACTACTTGGTTGGGGTCCGCGTGACTATCGTAACCAATGGTTGGAGACTCTTGGTGACATGGATCAGGATCGATCACAACGGCGTTGGTGTATACAGTCTCTATCTTCCCTTAAACTAAGAGATTAAAATCGCTTCATATCTTACTTTCTACGAACCAATTATTTCTTCTTGTATTATATCTCTATAGGCAATCTTTCTCTTATATATTACCACCTTTGACATAACCACTGCTATGAATCCGGTGTTCATCTTGTTGTGCTGATGCGGTATGGCAACCTGGACCGATGCACATATGTGCCTGGTCCTACTTTGTAGCTGACTGACTGACTGTAGGGTAGCTGAAGGCCAGTTGAACTGTCCTCTGAAATTTTCCCACACTGTTCTATACGTCTGGACTGGGAGCAGATGAGAGTATCGTCTTTTTCCGATATAACCTCACTTGCACTTGACTTATTAATTCCAGTTTCTTTTATTAGTCTGTAGAGCTGTCTTGTGTTCCCTATAGTCGCCGCCTTTTCCATCTCTTTTGCTTTCGTTGCCACCACTGCTCACGGTCGTTTCTAAGACTTTTTCTTAACCAAGATCTGATTTGTTATCGCTCTTCATCGTGTTCAGAGCCTGATGGGATGAGTTAACGAGAATCCATCAGTGCAATAGACTTAGTGGAAATCCATTGATTTTTCGTGACCTTTTGGTCCAAATCACTAATAGATGTCACTGCTGTTCCCACAGCTGATTGTATGCCCTTCCAAGCAACATCTGGGTCAGCCTCGTTTTCAGAACTACCTAAGTGTGACCTCAGTTGTTCCTGGAACGTACTTTTGGTTTTCTCGCTACTCAATTCAGTTCTAATGGGTCTTTTTAATGTGCCTTTTTTGCGTCCGGTGAGGCGCAAGCAGATGCGTGCCCGTATTAGGGCGTGGTCGGAGTCCAAGCAGGTACTCCAGAATGAGCGACAATCTTCTACCGACTCTCTCCAACGATGACTGATGGCAGTATGGTCTATTTGAGTCCATCGTTGGTTTGGTGTAGGGGGTCGCCATGTTAGACGATGTCTCTCCTTATGCTTAAAATTTGTGTTTGCTAAAAATAAACGATTGTCTGAGCACAGTTGCAGCAGACGATCACCATTATCTGTTCGTTGTGCCTGTGACAAATAGGACAACAGGCTTCCTTAGTTAGGACTTTAGAATCTCGCGCTATCCATGTGTGCTGCGTTTCCGAAACGCGCATACAGGATCCGAGTAGTGTCAATCATTTGACATCACCATATTAAAACGAAGTACCATCTCGATTCACGCTTCGTGTATCTGGAAGCCCTGTTGTTTCTTTCCGTGGCCTCGCTGGTATGGGTATGGCATTGAGTCCCAGAACAGAACTAGCTCACTTAGACTGCATTCCAGTAGACAGTCGTTTGTGCGCTGTCCGACTAAACGGAACAGTGAGTACTCGGAAAGATAGCGACACTCATCGTTGCCTCTTCGTCGTCTCTGCCTACTCTCCCACTGACTGCAGCTCAGATGATGTAAAAGATGAGTTTTACAGAAAGCTTTCTGACCTCCGAAAAGCTAGGCGTTCTGATGTAGTGATAGCGGCTGGTGACTTTAATTCTCAAGTAGGTAAACTAGGAGAAGGGGAAAGACACCTGGATGGAACCTTCGGGAGTCGTGGCTTTGCTGCAGCTATGCTCAGATAACTGCCTATTTCTAGCAGTTACTAACCTTAAGTATTAGGAAGAGTAGAGTCAGCTTAAGCGCAGACTGAAAGGAGGCTACGTAATGCTCATGAACAGTGGTGGGTAGCAAATCCAAGAGAGATGGAAAAGACAGTGACATTAGGTAACAGTAGACAACTGGGTGAGACTACAATTTTCGGACGACCTTAGAGAGACGTTAAGGTGACCTTAAAGATGTACACCTAGTTACTACGGCTAAATGTGTTATAAATCAGTTTGAAGAATAAGGATTATAATGTACAGTTGATCGTTAGGGTTAGAAATTAGATTTATATTTTTCATCACGAACCTACATCAGCTAAAATGTCAAAAAGCTATTTAGTCAAATGAATGAATTTCGCGTCTAAATCCAAGACATGTTATTCCAAATCTAATTGGTTCGTACACAAATTCTAGTCTCTCCAACAACTGTTCAGACTTGCCAAGGAAACCGGTATTAGGAACCCAACTGTTAGCGAAACTATCTCAGAAAAAGATGGGCATATTATTGACCCTTAATCCAGGAAATTGGACCGATGGGCAGAACACTTTAGGGATCAGTTCAACTGGCCTTCAGCCACACTTCGGTTTCCCACGATCTCCAGTCGACCTGAATGGCAAGTTGATATAAGTCCTCCAACTCTCTACGAAGTTGAAAAAGCTATTGGGAACCTGAAGCGTGGGAGGGAAGCAGGCCTTGACATGTTTACCCCTGAGATTTTTAAGGATAGTGGTCCAGTATTAGCAGTGAGATTGACTGAGATCTTAGGTAAAATTTGGGAACTGAACGAAATCCCATCTGACTGGTCCCAATCTCTGATTGTGCCAGTCTATAAGAAAGGACAAAAGTCCTCTTGTGACAATCACAGAGGAATGAGTTTGACAAATATGGTGTCTAAAATATTAGCTTCAATAATACGTACGTACTTACGAAGTTCTACGTTGTTACTGACTGACTGACTGCCAGCTGTCTTGAAAACTGATTCCAGGTTTTCCTGTCGACTGATTCCCAATACGTGACAGCAGGATATTAAATCAACATTGGATGAGAATTACTTCGTACAACAATTTGACTAAATGTAAAAATTTCAACAGTGGACTCCTGAATCTGTGCCCTAATGATGATAACCAGCCGACTCCCAAATTCGTGTCCTTATTTCGAATCAATGTGAATGGCTTCTGAGTGACCCTTGTTTTCATTAGTTCACTAACAGATATCAGTTCGTCGTGGTGAATATCTTCCAAATATTACCAATTATGTTGTATTTCAATTTGTAACCGTACAACTTAAGTGACGATTTAGTGAACAAAAGTATTCTAAGTTCCGTTTTACTGTCGGTGTTGTATACTAATAAATTCTACCACACATATAATAGCTTCAACTAAAAGTCTCAATTCATTGATAGTTCACAAATTTTCTCTTGAAGTCAAGTTCTTATTCTTCTGTTTTTACAGAGCCTAGAAACAGATGATGATTTAGCGAATCAAATTTCATTTGATATTGCTCGTCTCTCGTCTCAAAATACTGTTCTATTTAAACAACTATGTAAATCTGTCACCTTACAATCCAAGTTGGCTGCTTTTTTACGTCGAAGGTTTCATCAATTCGTGTAAGTCATGTTAATTTTTATCATTGGATTTGTTGTGCTCTTGGCTGTCTAGCACTTACTGGATAATGCACTTCGTTCTATTTGATGTGATCGACGATAACAATGAGTTAGAAACAGTGTAGTGTATATTTTAAAACGTCAAAATTGATAGTTTCGAACGTATGAAATCCTTAATTCTCACTTTTTAAGTTGTACATAGCAGTCAAATTGACCCTCTTCCCAAATACTAAAATAAAACCCTTAATTTTGAAGGAAACTTTAGCCTGCTTTTCATTCGTATTAGCTTTCGCAAATTAAAATTACAATGTAGTCAACTGCTTGTTTAGTTTATTTTAATTGACTAACATTACTGATTGGTTAAGACCAAAAAACAATACCAGTTTATTATCAGGTACTACTTAAGAATATGATTTATTTTAACTGTAGATCGCCAATAGGAATTTCAATGTTGTCATGAGATTTCATGCCTTGTATTACATATCTTTCGTTTTTTTTTCACTTTTGAAAAATAATTTAGATGAAACGATTGGCTGAGGCATTTTTCTGTCAAGAATTATCACTTGTCAATTTACTAGCTATTTATGACTCAAGGTAACAAATAATATTTGTCTTTATAAAGCTAATTTTACATCATTTATGTAGTAGACCTTACTTTTTTCACAATTTGTATAGTTTTAATGGAGCTGTAAATCAATCGTTACAAACACTCAGCTCGCAGTCGTTAAGTCACAAAATATTACCCTTATGTTGTTATTTAGGTATGGACGATATGCTAGTACCGTGAACTTCTATTTAAACCGTGTATTTCAAAGATGAATAGGTTAATATGTATCTACAAAATAATTCATTGTTATACAGTCTTGTTTTAAGCAAATTCCACCTAACTGAGCAATTCATCTCGTACACGTACATTTCACTTCAAATTGTGACATCTCCATTAGTGCAAGCTAGACGACTTCAGTACTTTATAATAACAACGTTGTGATTGTATTTCACTCGTTAAAGTGCATTTAGAACACGTTCAGTTGAAATTATGATTTATTCACATGACTTAAATTTATTTAACTAATATTGATATGAACCAAATGTCAGAATAGAAAACACTTTACTTGTTAGTATGCAATCAGTCACCTGTAGTAGTATATGTAATGTGACTGAGTAACCGCCACTCGAAAACATCGAATTACTGACTTAAAACTTCTAAACAAATGAGATATCAAACTACGAAACAACCGACCATTAAAAAAAGCCATTCCTTCTTCAGAAATATGGTGCACTCTTAAAAGTAATTGTAACATAGTTTTTCAGACCACTGTCTACTAACCAATGAGATCTAAACTCTAATACTAGACTTACTTCTTGTCCTTCATATCATTTGCATTACTGACCACTTTGCAACCATTATATAATTAAATTGAAATGTAAAGTATTGCTAGTGTATTAGCTTAATACATTTCAAATAATAATGTTAAACGAACAAGCTGAACTAATGGTCACAACGACATGCTAACACACACTAACGATAAGTCTCATACGAAAATTAAAAGACGAAAAGTGAATGTCCGGCGCTTCAATTGGGTTAGTAGATATGGAGGATCCACCGAGGAGAGTTGGAAAACCCTAATTACAAACCAATGGTGCACATAGACTCCAGGATCCTGAGGAGACAAATGATGTATGAACCTATTGTTGGTCACCGACTACTATGGGACTGCTTCATTGCCTTGCGGATTAGAATGTAGGTCAAAGGATTGGGGTGTGTTCCTTTAAGAAAACCACCCGCATCGGTTCAAGCGCTCGGACAGTATCTCAGCCCTCACACGGATGGAATGATTTGTGTGGTGAACATATATTTGGTGCCTCCTTGTACTAATGTTTATGTGTTTAAATATTTGGTTGCGATTTTCGTGTACACTCGATAGAGGGAACATATTCCAATTGAACTAATATTTGTAGACAGGGCAGCTACCTATTGGAATTTACTTTGTTTTCTGACGGAATAACACCCTTTATGTTCAAAATCAAAGATTGTAAGGTATGGTACATCATTTCATATTGAATTGAGCCTAAGATCTCTAGCCATCTTTCATACCTAGCATAGTGTGTTCTAAAGCAATGAAGTCCAAAATCAATGACTTACAGTTCCTTTGATTTTCGACAGTAATTCTCGTTATTATCAGTTTATGTTAGAAACTGCTTACAACTAAGTGAAATATTATACAACTCGGGCTGACTTTAGCTAAACAATATCTGAAAACCAGGGAGCACTAGATAGCTTTTTCGCGCAAATATAAGACATTTGTTTGTTCATTTAAATATGTTAGGTAGTGATTAAGCTCGGATTTGGTTGGAACAACACAGATCTATCCACTCTCTTTGTTCTTTTCTTGAAAATTTGAGTTTTAGAATTATCTTATACTTTTTTTCATTCCACGATTTCATTCTTTTTCCTCACATTTGATTGTTCAATTAATATTGATACTGTTACTACTTTGAATTCCTTAGTATTTGTCTTGATAACTTAATTTCGGTATCGTGACGAAGTGTGACAAGTTGAATCTTTGCCCATATATGTGCTATGTTCTACACTGTTTATGCCTGATTGAGTTTAAACATCTCTTAAATTTTTCTATTACGTTGTTTGATTTTACATTATTTTTATAAAAACTTCAAGTTATTTTGATGCTTAAAGATTTTTCTAAGAAATTTTCATATTTCAGTGTTGTAGGACATGAATCACTTGCTAATGATGTTCGCCAATCAGTTTATTTTCAAAAACTTCCAACTTTACCAGTTACCTGTCGTGAGTTAGATGGTGATGTTACTAATCTACCGATTATCTTCGAAGACATTTTTTTACCACATAATAATAATAATAATAATAATAATAAGACAAAATCATTGAATTTATCTCAACCAATTAATGGTAATAATAATAATGCAATATATACAACCAATGCACCAAAAACAAAATATACTTCAATGGAGTTATTGTCAACTCATAAATCCCCATCTACCATTGATGATGATGCATTTACACCAATAAAAACTCGTTCAGATGATAATGAGTCCGGTATTTATATGGAAGAAGATGTAGTGGGAGTAGGAGTATTATCAAAGACTGCAACTGGAAATAAGTCAACTGATTTATCTAGATGTGACACAATACCAGGTAAATGAACTTAATATTTTTCTTCATTTTGTGTCTTCTTTTCTACCTTCACTATGTATTTTTCACCATTTTCAAGTGTAATAATGACTGAATGGTTAAAACACTAAACGTCATCTTCGTTTAATCCCCACGTTCAAACCCCTGTCTATCTAATTTAGTCTGGACGGTCGAGTGGTATCATCTAGCGCTTACATAAATTATGTAACTTCCAACTGAATCCAAACGAATATTGTTATGTCACTCAACTAATGTGCATACTTTTGTAAACAGAAAGACGTCTCTTCTAAACTAGGGCTAACTGACCTCTTTACTTATGTGACGACGGACCACCGGTGAACTCGAGGAAGCTGTAAGAGGCTCATAAGGAGCCGAAGACGTTCCATCCAATCACCTGTCGGAAGAATGTTCTAGAATTCCAACGTGTAGCTTCCCCATTGGATAATGCTAATAACCCCTGTACGCGGATTGGAAGATTGTAATGATGATTTCGTTCCCACTAAAAACTATAAATACCTGATAATTTTGTACTATGTTTGACACTGTTTGGAATAATATTCCTTTCGTTAGTCTTCTGTCTTCTTATTGCGACTTGGAAGGGTTTGGTGTTCCAGTGCTCAGTTATACGCGGTTGTATCAAGAAAATCAGCTTTTTCAAGATATAACATCTGGCGACGGGTTATTGTATCAATATGTCATTTACCTTGGAACAATTTGAAGCCTTATTGGAACGTCAAGAAAAGTTCCAGATGCGCATGCTAGAGATGCTAACTCAGAAAATGAACCTGGATCAAAAAGAAGTTACAGATGATCCCTTCAAATCTCATGTTGACCAGATTGTTAATTCTATCCATGAATTTAATTTTGATGGTTCAGCTGGCATTACTTTTGAAACTTGGTTCAAGAAATATGAAGATTTGTTCAAGGTCGACCTCAAAAAACTTGATGACGCCGCTAAGGTCAGAATACTCTTGCGAAAACTTGGAACTGTTGAACATGAACGTTACAGTAACTTTATCCTTCCAAAGAATCCAAGAGATTTTTCTTTCGATGCAACGATTGAAATTTTGTCGCAAATCTTTGCTGAACAGTCATCCTTGTTTAATATTCGTTATCAATGTCTCAAGATGACAAAAGCAGGTGATGATGACTGGGTGAAGCATGCGGGTCTAGTAAACCGTGAATGTGAGCGCTTCAAACTATCAGCAATGACAGAAGACCAGTTTAAGTGTCTCGTATTTGTGTGCAGCCTCCAATCTCCCGAAGATGCCGATATTAGAACTAGAATTTTGAGTAAAATTGAACAATGTCCGAATATGACACTACAAGAAGTAACCGCAGAGTGCCAGAGATTGGTAAACCTAAAGCATGACACTTCGATGGTCGAAAATAATGGCCAGTTGCCATACGTTCGTGCTGTAAGCGGAAAGAACGATTCTCGCTCAAGAAAGGTATCGCACACAGATAATCAGCCTTCATCTCCATGTTGGTCTTGCGGTGGTTGGCATTATAAAAGGTTCTGCCCATATAAAGAACATTGTTGTAGCAAGTGTCATCGCAAGGGACATAAAGAAAACTGCTGCAGAAAAAGAACCCATAAACGACATTCTTTGAAACCCTACTCGAAGAAATACAGATTTAGTGCTCGAACTAACAAAATATTGGTATCACATAATCGAGCACGAATTTGCCGCCAAAGAAAGTATGTAACTTGGATATAAATAAAAAGCGTGCCCGCCTGCAACTCGACACCGCTTCTGACATCACACTTATTAGTCGGAGAACTTGGAATCTTATCGGTAAACCACAGGTGCTCCCAACGACCCAGTTAGCTC